AACAAGTAAGTTTCAGAGAGAGACTGATATATCACTCAGGATCATTTTTCTTTAAGAAGTTTGTTGGCTATTTATAGTTCTAATTATCAAACCCTTAGCAAGAACTAGTCTATACCATTTTTATATATAGACATTCATAACCTATGCATATATATACACATATGTTTGGTATATCCTCATCCCTTTCCAGATCTATTCCATTATTACATTTGCTTCCACTCACACTAAATGGTAGTCAAATATGTACCTTCAAGAAGGTAAACTGACTTGACTGTTTAGGTTTCAGTCAGTAAGATAAAGCTACTAAAAATGAGGTAATAAGTGAAGTAAAGATACTTAAGTACTTTCATGTTTTCAAGGCTACAAGCTACATTTGCAGGCAGCTTTCATTTCTGTTTCAGTTTGTTCGGGGAAAGCACCCATTCCTCTCACTGCAAGTGTTAAGAATTTAAACCATTATTATGAGGTTATTATTTTAGTATCTATTTTTGAGTCCAGTCATGCCAAGTGGTACTTATCTTTTGTAACGCAAGTGAGCTGATTGAAGAAACTGAAAACTGATTCCCTTTTAAATTCCATGAAATAAGTGAAAACAGGACGACTATATCTAGCTCATGTTATCATATTAACATTTCATTTATGGATTCAAAATCTTGCAGGGTGCATTCAAAATCCACATGATGTCTTTCTTGAGTGCTAACGTTTTCAAGAGGATCTGTACATTGGCAAATAAATAGGCAATGTAAGAATACAAGTCTGGCCACACACGTAGCAGCTAGTTAACACGAAGTCTGAGGCTACTGAGGCTACTTCACCTAAGGATGAAGAGAAACTGACTTGGCTTAAAACAGATTCAGACAACAGTATCTTGTTCACCACTGTGCCAAAGGAAGGGGAACTTCTCTGATGTAACTGCAATCATTTAGGATATACAAAACTAAGCTGAGGTATGAGGGACCAGACAGCAATTTTCTAAAATAACTAGAGCCTAGCAGAATTCAAGTTACATATTCTCTGCTACAAATAGATATTATTGTGTTAAGTATTTACCCTACATCAACCATCATATGCTTCTACATACCAAAGCAAACAGCAACAGTTTCACAATAATCACCCCAAATCACCTATGCTCACTAGCTTTTCCCACAAAAAGGCTCAACTCAGTGTTGGTACCCCAAACACTGAGTGTCCAAACCTCAGCTGTTGAAATTGGCATAAAGGACAGACAACAAGACATAACTCATATAAGAGGCAAGTGCTGCTGTAACAAACAACTTAAAAACTTGTAAATGCTGTAATAAGCTAAGTAAAAACATCCTCCCTACCCACCATGAAGTATACACTCCACAAATCCTCAAGATCAGAGGAAAAATGCCAGGAATTATCTTTAAAACAATCAAAGGCATTAAAAACACTAAAAAATAAGAAAAGTGTGGGTTTCCATTGTGCTCAGAAGTAGTCAGAGCAAGTCACAGAGGTATTTCTGAGAGAGGCTGACCAGCAGCAACAAGCACTACACACAGATTAATACACTTACACAAAAATTGTGCAGAAATCAGACTGCGTTGAGAAGTGGATCAGCTCTTCCATTCTTGCCCTGGAATTTTTTGTAATACTAATTTATTTTGTGCTGACCACTTTCATTTCACTAAGAAAGTACCAGCTGACTACCAAACAAATAATGAAAACATAAAGGAAGTTTTGTTTCCTATCGCCATTACTCACTCTCTCCTCTCAAAGAGATAACCATATGGTAGCATAAAAGCATCAAATACCATCTCTTTCCTTTCTTTGGAATTTATCACAAGTGTTCAGTTGTACAGAAGGCAGTTGAGCCAATCTGTTCTTTCTGCAATTTACACTGCTATAATGGAGAAATCCTTAAGGAAATTAAAAGCTAGTGTGCTAGTGTGTATTTTCCTGTTCTGGAAATGCATCATTAAATCCACATTCCTTCTGTTTTTCACTGTACCATTTTCCCCTCTATTGTAGATTATCTTCATCACATTCACCCACATTCTTTCCAAACTCCTATTGATTTGTCTTTATCTTTTCTCATCCCCAAGTTTTCTCTTTACTCAAGTTCTGTACTCCGCTTCTCACATTTTTCACCCCATGTAAACAGTTTTCTAAAACACAGACTTAAAATGCACAGATTCCACTGGGCGCATATTATGCAGTTCTTCCAAGATCAAACAGATCCAACATGCTAAGAGCTGTCTTTTCCCACTTCAACAGAGGTGTATTCCTTGTTAGACTACATCCATTTTTATGCGTTACTTTCTGCCCAGTGCTCTGCTCTTCAAATGTAACTAAAACATCTTCAGGCTGTCCAGTGTCCTCAGACTTGCTAGCAGATATTTGACATCAATGTTCATTATATGTTTTGAACCAGAAAATCTGCCAAACTGCATTGGCTTGAGCAGTTCACAGGATTCTTTAGTGACAGCAAAGCTTTCTCCTATGAAGAGTTTCACTGTACCCATACAGTCACAGAGAGTCTTCAGCCTGCATTTTAGTTTGCAGCTGTCCTGATGTCTCATGGTCCTGACAAACACTCGCATATGTCCTTAAACTTCCTGGAATTGCACTAAGGTTTTGTTTGGTTTCTTGCTCTTCCAATTTCTCACTGTAACTTTCCTCTTCTACCATTACCAAACTGCAGACACATGTATATTACACTCCTTCCAACTGTAAAAGCCTGCTGTAGAGCCCAAATCCATTTTTCACTTAACATGCACACAAGGAATAACAAGAGGCTGCTAAAGGAACTGCCAGTCCTTTTGCCCTCACAGTAAGCAGCCTAGCACTGGTGAGGTTGCTTCAAAGGATGCACCTCCCTCAACTCTAAGCCAGAATTTAGCTGAGTCACCTAAATTTTTCCTAGTTCAGGAAAGCTTGCATTAGGTTTTCAAACACTCACTAAAAATTTCAGTTGAGTTCAGGAGTAACATCCATGTGCCTTAGACCTGTGTCATCTATTCAGTGCTATACTTTTCAAAGAGAAGCTCTTCTATATAAGCTGAAGTAATGCTGACATCACATGAGACAGGTAACAGGTAAATATGAGCTTATTTCTGATTTGCATCTACCACAAAGCTGTACTTTGAAATCTCAGAGTCAGTTAATGATGCAGCTGGAAGAAGATGAACAGTGCCACACGTCACAGAAACACTGAGGGTAGCACAAGATGAAATAGCTCTTAAATAACAGGCAGTCTCTGCCAGGAAGCAAGCCACAGAAGGCTTCCTGGCAGAAAAATTGAAAGAGGTCTGAAGTGTGATGCACCCAGAAGAATCACAGCACTGAGAGGTAGTATTGTACTTAGATTAATCAAGGAATTCCAATAAAATCTTGACTTTTTCCTTCCAGTGAGGGCAATCTCAGTGGATATCCAGAAATTCAAAATCACCCATGAAGATGACATGACCATGCTGAACAAGAACCCTGGAAAATTTTTCCACTGTAAAGCCCTGGAGTTTCTTCTTGTTCATTATGTTATCAAAACCCTTCCCTAAGCTCTATAATGGCATGTCTGCCATGTCAGGCATCACAAGCAGGAACAGTTTTTCGAAGTGTGCAGCCTGATCAGCCTTACAGCTGACAAGCTTGTACAGCCATAATGGAAGGGAATTCATTTTTCTCCACCAGTGAATATCCTTAGCCAGGGGGTAAGGATAAGATTTAACACTACAAAGTGTTAAAACTAATGTCAGCTCTATCCCAAAACCAAGCAGATGGAAAGAAATGCAAATATATCCAAAACTGCTGCATCAAAACCACTGTTCCGGTATTTCATCCATCAAGTAATTACCTTATACACTTATCCACCTTTTTCAAACTATGTAAATACACGTAAATAAATTTGGAAGTGTAAGAGGAGAAGCATTATTTACACACTTCCACTTCCTCAGAAATCAAACCAAAACTGTTATTGCAAGCCATCAAGCATTCCTTGTTCTTCGAAACAAAACTGCTGTACATAAAGGACATGACTTGTCAACCATGTATCAACACAATATATTTTTGTAGCTTACAGGTTTTCTCACACATTCAAGTTTTCCATCTCACAGCATTACATTTAATTACAATGAACTTCTGCCCTTATGTAGTTTGTTGGCCTGAAGTTGCTGCAGCTATCAGGAGGGTATAAATGAGCTCTTACAAATGCTTTGTAAAAGATAGGGTGGATATATAACAGTATGAGGTCTTAGAAAATAAAGGTCTTGAATTTCAACCCACGAGTACAGAAAAGGAAAAGAGTGAGGATTTCTGAGGAAAGCGGTGCTGCTACTAGTGAAACAGCTACCTCATCTGTTGTTCCTACATTTCTGCATAATTTTCATCATTTTTTCCAGTTTTTCAACTACAGTATCTTAAAAAATGCCTCTTAAGTTTTAACATTACTTAAGAGAAGAAATAAGAACAAGCTTTTACTGTCTTTGACTTTCAATAGTATTAGAAATATTAGAACACAGAAATTAATACTTTACATTTCAGTCACATTTACATATGTCTATTCATCAGTAGAAAACCAAAAACTTACAGGACTCAGAATGTAATGAGTGACTCTGTTTTTCAGATTTAGCCAAAAAAAAAAAGGGAAAAAAAAAAATCTTTCTCTTATATAGATTATCCTGTCATACTCAGCATAGACTAGAAGAGCAAAGCCTGCAACCTACACAGTAGTGTCCAGCAATACAAACAAACCATTAACTTGAAACAACACTGACTTCTAAACATTTAGCAATCATATCTCAAAAGAGGCTTGATTTGATTTAGTGCTGCCATCCAAATGGAAAAAAAAACATATGGTGCCTTTAAGATGTGAATCTAAAGAATTACTTCCAAACTTATTGCTTAATATAATAAAATTAGTTAGAATTGCTCTAATCTCGAACTAGGAAAAAATCCTGAAATCTTCTCAGTAAACAAAAATTTTGTTCAACACCACTAAGTGCATTTATGCAGAATGACAACAAAGTCATCTTGATGCTTACCCGATCATTGCGTTTTCTTTAATCTGGCCCTCTGTGCCATTTACCATTGGCTCTTGATTTCTGTTTTCTTTTTCTGAAGCATCACTTGAGAGGCCCAATAAAGCTCGCACTCGTTTTGATTTCACATCCAATATCGTGTCGGTGTAGCCCACTTCTTGTAGATACCTGAAGGAAGAGAACTCATGCTAATCTTCTCTGCACGTCTCACTTCTGGCAAAACATGAAGTGGAAACTTCTCCCTGAACTCATCCTCAATCCCTTAGCTTAGCAAACTATGGTGCTGAGCTGGTGAAACATGCTTGTAAATCATCCTGTACCAGCTGCAGAGGGATCGCCTCTTGCAGTACCAGCCTCTACAGTCACTGAGGAAAAAAAAAATCAGAGAGCCTAGCAGTCAGAGGTTATACAATACGTTATTCATTCATTTACTAAAATGGATGGAAAAGCACTTTCAGTTAAAATGTTTACAACTGCTTTAAAAAATCACCACAGTTACATGCACAGCCATGGTAATTTTATTCTTTAACACATGGAAACTAGATACAAGAAGCACCAGGTATGTTCCTTATGTGAACATTATTAGAAGCCTAGAAAACAGGGAATAAAAACCAAATTCTATAGCTGCAGTCATTAGTAAGAGTTGTTATTTATGGTGGACTAGGCTTGACAAAATCTTTGTCTGACCTTTTCTTTGTTCTGCAAAATTTTGTCATCCATAGAAAGACTGAACAGCAAAAATCATTACATGAAAACCTCACAGCCTAAAGTTGGCTCTGTAGGTTTAAAGCTGGCTCTTTCATCAATATGCCATGTTGTCCTGAGAGAAGCAGGAGGGAAATAACAATTTTAAAAAGAAAAAGTAAAAACTGGTTTGTGTCCTTCCCTCTAGAACATGGAGTTAATGGCACTGAACTGATTAAATTGCCAATATTCTAGACAACTCTAAAGAAGGGAAATACTATTTTACAGTGACAGCTGTTACGAGTCAGAGACATGCACTTTTCCTGCAAGAACATTTTCCTCCAATTATTTAACAATATCATTCAAATAACCACATTAGGAGAGAAATACTGATTGTTTGCTATAGAAAAATCAAACAAGTCACCTATGCAAAACAGAGTCTGTCAGTAATATGTACTCTATATTCCACAGTGTGTCCTCTTGTATGAACTGTGCTGAGAAGGAATGGCTTGTCTTCAAAGCCACTGATCCAAGTCAAGACCACTCTATTTACATTTATTCAATATGCATGCAAAGATTTGAGCTCTTGCAAAAGAAAAGCCTGTACAAGCCATCCAACGAATTTAACTTTTGCACAACTCCTTGGAAAAACGTGTTTTAATATAAGTTCCAGACCACCCTTACTGTCTCAGTCCCCTCTCATTTAACCCTCTGTAACACACCAAATATCATGGCAATTAATTTAGTTATTATGACCGCAATTCAAAAATAAATTTAGATTAACAGACATTTGTTTTATTGAGATGAATAGAGAATTAGAAAACATCTAGTCTAACCTTATGGATGTTAGTCTTTTCTGCAACTTAAGTAAGCTGAAGTAAAACTTTTCCTTCTGCCACGCTAGCTGCTTTTATTTTACACAGCTCTTAGCAGAATTACTTGTGTCTTTTGCTTTTTAATTGCAAAGTGTCATGACCCACTGTTCTCCGAAGCAGACTGTTTGATTATACTCCGTGAAAGAAAAGTAAATGAGATCAGGTGCAGGTGTTTGTGGCTTGACAAGGCTTCTCATCTGAAGTTACAAAATATTATATTTTTCAAAACCCAAGGAAAAGTAGTGCAGAAGCTCAATGAACTTCATCACACACACTAAATTTTCTTTCAGTAAAATATAACTGAAAAAAAATCAAATACCATCACCATCATATTTCATTAGCAGATTCTTTCTTTGCATTCAGTATTTGAGTCCTTTTTTCAACACTTACTGTCTTAACAGCTGTCGTCCTTGTTTCCATATTAGCTGACTGTTCTGTTGTGGCTGAATCTCTGTCTCATTCCCTTCATCTGAAAAAGATTATTTTATTAAATTTTTTTCCTTTTCCTATTTCTATAAAAGATGCCCATCCACTTGAAGAGAAAAATGTGATCTGCCTTAAAATGATTAGGAATGGTTTAATAACAAAATTCAAAGTGCAAATAATGAAGGGAGAAAAAAAAATTGCACACAGCACGTAACTGTAGTACTATATACACAAAGATTTCCAGCTACAACCTACTCTATGAGAGCAAGTTCCACTAGTCCTAACTCCTAAACAGTCATACTCTATGAAGCACGTTCCTAACTCCTTTAGGGGCACATAATGGCAGTCAGTCTACAGTCCAAGTTTTGCTTTGGGCTTCCAAGGTAATTGGTGCTCACATTAAGTCTGAATACGAGTATCTTTAACTGCTAACTGCAGCATGATGCTGTTTTACAACGTCCCAGTTTTCTTAATATTTGACAGTTCAACATAAATCAACAGATCAATTTAATCCTTATTTGCATTTGTTTTGTAGAAACAAACAAAGGGTTATTTTTTAACCTGAAAAATAGTTTAAAAATTTTCATCACATTTTCCTCAACCATAAATTTGTAACCAAATGTTACTACTTCATCTAGTAGTAATCTACAAAAATCACATGGCTTTTCTCTTAAGAAAACTATCAGAATGCTGGCAACCAACAGCTGCAAGTTTATTTCATATATAGCTTCACAGCACATGATGGTGGGTTTCTTTTCCTCTCCTTGAGGAGATGCATATGCTTCCCCAGATAAAAGATCTTGGTTTATTATCTATGAAAGCCTCTACAAAACTTGAAAACTTTGTGGTCCAAACACAAAAGAATGAACAAACTTCCTGTGCAAACAAGACTTAAGAACCAGAAAAACCTGTGGTACAGTCCTATGAGTAACTTGATATGTGACTTCTCATCAGGAAGTCATTTACCTTTAAACAACTCAATTAACACTACACAAGAATCCCCTACCACCTATCCAAAGAAGTTATCAAATGCTAATCAGAATTCACATGCAAGGAGAGACATATGAATTTTAGACATCTCATATTCACAAATCTATTTAATAGTAACCACAGGAAATAATCAAATGCACAATCACTTTCCAATGACAACTGGACATTGCTGGATTCAACGCACAGCTACTAAAGCTCAGTCTATAATTATTAAAACATGACTGAGGTAAATCTGCCTGAAAATTCCTTTTGAAAGCAAAACTCATTCTTCTGAAGGCACTGTTAAGTATATCCAGAGGCAAGAATTCTCTTGTGCTTAGTCTCCTCAAAAATGATGACTGCTAGCAGTAGCAGTGGTTTACAGATAAGAATGAAGAGACTTGCTTTATGAGGAAATTATAGCAGAAGATACAACATATGTAGTATAAATAGATCAATTGTATATATAACTATTTTTTTTAAAGTATCCCTTTACCAGGAGATTGAAATCTTTCTTCCAAAACTGTGTTACAGATTCACCAAGAGATCATAAAGAAAACAACAAGGACGCATGTGGAAGAACTACTACCAACATTTCCACTTTTTTTCTCAACTGGGCAGGAAAACCAGGGACAGGGTGAGGGGAACATATGGACATACATCTTAAGTACCTATCAAAGACAACTTCAAAATAACATTAGAAAAAAGTTTCTATTCTAAGTCATCAGTCCAGATTTGATATAGAACAAAAAATACACATTTCTGATAGCTATATATAGAATACAATGGGATAAATGAGAATAATGGAATTTTAGCTAAAGTATTCCCACAATGTTGACTTTGCAGTCCAGACCTCTGCTGGGCAAGCCAGGCCCCACACTACATTCCTCAGCTGGATACTGGAGCAATATGCTGTAGTTGCATGAGAAATTACAAAAAAAACCCACGGTTGCCGAGAACTGTAGTATCATCAGGACAAAGTTTTCAAAAGGTCCAGACACAGACTGAGGTCTTCCACTTAGTAGGACCAAATTCAGTATTTCTTCAGTTACAGCAATAATGCTGATAATCACATGAAATAAAATTTCTAAAACATTCATTAAAAACTTGGACAAGAAAAGCCTGGTGTAAAGCTTTGCTAGTTGGTGTGTGGGGTTGGATTTTTTGTTTGTTTGGGGGTCTTTTAATGACTTTTTAAACCCAACGAGGGAAGAAATCACCATGACAGTCAGCCAGACCATCCCCTCCACAAACCAAGTGACAGATGAGATGTGTAGATACCCTATGCTCTGCCTTTACATATAGGTGGTTCCAATTTCATTCTAGTAGAAGCATTAGGAGGCTGAGACACAAAATGCATTACCTATTTTTTCAATGGCTTGACCTATAGCCAGATCTCTGTACCTCGTTTTTGTATTCTTTTTTCCCCTGAGGAAAGGATAGGGAGGCAGAAGGCTAAAAGGAAGTGATCTAAATTCTTAATTTCCCCAGTTCAGTGCCCAAATCTATTTGTGTGAAGTAGGAGATGAAAACAAATCAGCTTTCCAGAGACCAAGGCAAAAAACTGAAATTAGCTAAATGTATTTCCAACAATCATTTGAATTCTGCAGAGAAATCACCCATTCAAAAACTCTTGCTTATGTCTAATATGCACTTTAATTTTTTTTTCCAGGAATACCATTGAGGTAATTGAACAAAAATTATGAACTATGTATTTCATTCAGAAGAATTATCCAGAGACAAAAGGATCTATTGTTATGAATCTAGTATCATCCTGTTCTAAATTATCCATACACACCACTAAGGGACAGAAAAACTACTCTCTCCAAGAACAGTCTGCTCATTTGGGTTCAGATTTTTAAAAAAATCTAAACTAACTTGATTTATTTATAGGTTCTTAAGGCACTAGCATATATTTTTTAATTGCACGAGAGTAAAATACAGACTTTATTAATTATCTCTGTTCTCACTGTTCCATTAAAAGATTTATTTTATCAATACTTCAGCATTTGCACAGAACACAGTTAAGCTTTTATGCCAGTAATAAGTTCATTCTCAAAAAAATCTTACCAGAATCATAGTTCGGTGGCTTCATATCTCCCTGATTCAGTTCTGTGCCATATTTTAATTTATGGTATTTAGCCCTGAAAGGAAACCAAACCAAACAAACAAACAAGAAAAGAAAAATCTATTAGTACATTTAAAGGATGTCTCTAAACACATAAATGTCACCTGTTTGCCCTTGAAAAGCCACTCCTTTCTTCTAGGCAAGGAACAAAGCAAAACATTAAATTTTACCATGACTTCAGATACATAATTTTATTTAAATATTTTTTCCTGATGCAATTGCATTGTGAATACTGAGAAAACACACAGAGCAGTTGACTGAAGATTTTACAAAACGCTCTTGCTACATGAAAGGTTCCTTCCCTGTGGACACAAGTAACTCTTCTGCTTCTCTTCACAACTCCCCCATCTTTCCTTTTTAGCCATCACTATGAAACATTTTTACTACCCATGTCAGTTCAGTGCCACCTACTTCATATCTCATATTGCGACTCCATTAAGCAAACTTTAGTTTTATTCTTCGAAATGCTGTGCTCTCCAACAGCAGCAGGCCCTCAGTTAGAACTATTCTAAACAAGATTTAGCAATGACAGCTCACCCACACCCAAAGCTGCTAGGTCTGTCACTTGACCAAGTGCAAAAATGGATACTTCCAAAATTATTTAGCCTTCAGAAGGTTTAATGCAATAAGCCCCACATGCCATACAATGACAACAAAAGTAGCTACACAATAATGGAAATGCTTTTTAATTTGAAAAGCTTCATCCTAAAGACTGAGTATGTATAGACTTTTAAATACACATAATAACACCACAGTAGTACAGTATTACACATGCACGTATAAGTTATTCAAGATTCATTACAGTAGTCTTATAACACTTATACAGTAGTCTCATAACACTACAACAGAGAAAGCGAGGCAAAGTGAGCCTTTACTAGTTTTGCAATCTGCTCTCTCCTTCTCTCACTATAACTTTATAAGTACAAAATTGCAAGTTTTATACATTCACAACTGGGTAGAAGAGTGGCACTTATACTAGTTCCTACCCTAAACAAAAGGCTGAGAACTCAGGAAATGCTGTGTGTGCAGCCTGGGAGTATTGAGACAATCAAACAGCACACATGTACACTCAAGTTCAAACGTAAATGTACAAAGCAAAGTGTAGGGTAGCAAGAAACAGGATGAAAAAGACCTGTAAAAAAAAAATAAACCTCATATATGCACCAACATGAAAATGAGTTTCATTAGCTCCACTAGGCACAAGGGAGCTCTTCTACTTTAATTTTTTTTAAAAAAAAAATTAATGGGTTTGATACTTTGCAATTGTATGAGGCAAGTTTTCACTAAGCTCACATGACTGTATCAAGAATGGCTGCAGAAAATGTTTTTAAGTTACCTACACCTCTTGATTGCTTCTTAAGTATCTTCATTATACTACTGCTTTCTTCAGCCTTTTCCAATTTCATCAAGAAAGTTCATTACTTCTAACAAAATACTGCTGAAGAATGCTTGGTAGTTCTTACGCTTCAATATCGACAGTACTAGCTTCCTACTAATCCAGCTGCGTTTTAATTATAATAAACATTTAATTCTGACTGAGAAGGGTAAGTGAAGAGTGAAGAAGTGCCTCTTAGGCATAGCAACATTGACAGATGAAGGAACTAACTCTCAAGGGCCAGAGCACTAAGCTCTAACTCAGCTGAGCAGCAATCAACAAGAAAAGAAGAAAGGATGTGCTTGAAATGTATTAAAGCAATAGAAAGACGTTAAACATTTTGGTCAGTACAGAAAAGAGTAACCAAGAGTAGAACAAAATCAAATATGAATGTTCAATCAAAATATTTACCTTTCATTTTCCAACTATCCATTTATTGTTATTAACAATAACAATTAATAATAACAATTAACAATAAACTATCCATTGTTATTAACATAATGATACATTACCATGTTAAAACAAATGCATTTCATTATTGTTAAATATCGATGCTATGTATACTTTTCCCCCACCATCACTAATGAAAAGCAATGATTAATCAGGAATTAAGAAATCCTCCTGTCACCAACCTATCTCACCAACGTTAAACACTACAATTTTTTTATGCAGTCATGATTTCAAGAGAGCTTAATGTGTAATCTATTTTGATCTGACTTATCAGAAATGAACAAATATTAATGCTCCTATCTGGATTACTGACACATGTTGTATTCTATTTCATTCCTTCAAACAATTTCAGGGAGAAGTTAGTTTTGCAGCAGTTAACATTTGCTTTTAGTTCATAGGTTTTATACAAAGTTCCACTATGCTCTATGCGTTCACTAATTTTCTTACCAAGTTTTGTCAGTTATTTCCAGCCTAAGTAAAATGTTTGCTAGGTTCAATGAAAGGATCGTTCTTTGTACCTTTCCTGTTCCTCAGATCTCATGTTCTCCAAAATTCATCTTTCAATGATTCATACTGCAGTTTATTAAACTTCTCAGTATATTTATTTCAATCTCCTAAATCCATGCTTGCTCACTTTTTAGTCATTTCCCTCTTAAATCAACAATTTTTCTTACTGAAGTGTCCCCCACTCATCAAAAGCATTATAAAATCATTTCAGCAAAATGAGATTATTCATTCTAAATCCATTTTAAACTGTTAGTACCAGGATTCTGTAACTGGTTCCACCTCACAATGCAACAGCTTTTAAAGCTTTTGTTGTTATTCTTTATTTCAAGAGATAATGTAGATTACATGGTCTTGTACACCACTGGCCCTTTAAATTTATTTTAGAGCCAAACTGAACTAAGATTTTACCTTTTAGAGGACCTAACTTTGTATATTGCAGGCAGAGACCAGTAGCACTACAGAAAAGGCTGAAGAACCATGTTCTAACAAAGAGGCAACTGAAGAGATGAAAATCCCAAGAAGTAATCCTTATTTTCAATACTGCTGGCAAAGTTAAAAACAAAGTTATAGAGCTCTGACTGCACAAAATAACAAAAAAAAACCCTAATGTTATAATCAAACCTGAATTAAATTCAATTGGTATAAATTCAGGTCTGTGAACAGGACAAAGACTTGAAACAGAAACATGAGTATCACACCAGAGTATGTGACACACTGAACTCAGTTGTGGTCAGCTTCTAAAGTTCAGAAAAATATTACAAAAGACTCCCATAAAATCAGTATAGACCACTAATATGCCATCTCGGAAATATTTTCTACACTTCTTCAGGCAGTATGAGATTTATTATTAGACACTTTTTTATGATACAGCTGAAAATGTCACAGGCATGAAAGATAAACTTCTTTCTGAAGTGCACTAAGGGCTGAACACCAGGACAAGAAGGGAGTCTTGACCATTCAGTTACACACACTGCGATCAAAGGCTATGAAACTTTTCACAAGATAACCTTTAATTCTTCTCTATACAAATTCAAAATATCACATATTACATTACAACATTTTAATTTAATCTGTTTTTACAATGACAGAGTATCTCCTGCCCATCTGTAATGCTTAATTTTTTAACTTTCTCAGAAATCACATGGTCCACTTATTAACAGCTTTAAACTGGCCTTCAGAAGCTCACGCTGAACTCTAGCTCACACATTCCAATAGTGTGATACTACCATCACAAAGAAGAGATAAAGTATTTTTTGTGTAAAAATGTATAAAGTGAAAGTTTCTTCAACCTTTGTATCATCTGTATCATACTTGAAAATAACTACCTGAAGGATACAACTTCATAGAAGATATTTTCTATCTGAAGATTAGCCTTCAAGTTATTCTAGCAACAGTGAAACTAGGTTCCTGGGTAGATGCCCTTACTCAGATGAGTATTGCCACTGCTCTGGCTTCTGTCCTTCATTACACAATTCTCCTCTTTTGATTAGCAGTATTTTAACTAAACTATGTGTCTTCTATTCAGTCCGTGAAAACATTCAACATGGTTGCCATAACTTCAAGAAATTGCTTAGGAAAATGCTAAAAGCCTTCATCCAAATTTCCTGAGTGCAGTCAAACTTTTCTGAATACTTCACACAGAAACAAATTTGATTCCAGTCAAAAAAAGCCACTATTTCTTGGAAATATCTGTCTCCAGACCTGAAGCATCTGATCCAGCTGTGCTGAGGGAGCCTGCCAAAACATCCGTAAAAGATCTGGGAGCTGCCGCCAAATCAAGAGACATAAACAAGAGCGACTGCCAGGAACAGCACAGCGAGATATTCTACCCAGGGGAGAAGGCGCCAGCCTTACACTGATCAGACACATCAGTGCAGAAAACAACATAAAATTAAATCAACTGTTTCTAGAGACATGGCTCAGGAGTCCAGTGCTTTGGTTGAAATATGTTAAGAGAGGAAGTGAGCTAGACTAGCTGAAATAGGACATGTACTTGAGAGAAACAGTACTATGTTTCAGCTAGCTCCTGAAAATCCAGAGGCACCAATGCAATTTACTGGTGCTGGAGCAAGTATTGATAAAGTCATAAAAAGTAACCCTCAACTCTGAACAGCCTCACACTGCAATCTACTGGATGCTGACAAAACTACATCAAAACTGCTGTTGAAAAATGCTTAACTGTGCACTAACTCCTTGTAAGCTCCTTCCTATCTTACCTACTAAGACTCTTCAGCAGAAATAACCTGGCTTGCTATACACACAATAAAAAGAAAACTTCACAATTACTGACATAAAGACTAAACATTAAACTAAATTTGCCAGAAAACCATGACAGTCAGTAGTAAAACTTATTTTCTACCTTACCCACGATAAAATGACATGACATGGAGAACAACAATGCACCAGAAGTTGTTTATTTATAGTAAATCTGAAACTATTTGGTTGATAAAAGAAATGCAAAACAGCCACTATAAAGAAGAGCAGCTCATAGAAGCATGTACCTGAGAAAATAAATGTTGCTCATTTCTTTTTTGTGATTTCCTGAGGGCATTGTGAACATGGAGTACTCCGGTCCACAATTTCATATTCTGTTCTGTTACTCATAACTTACTTTGTCTAGCTGGGAAAGATCTGAAATGCTGTGCAGCCAGGGCAGAAATGAAGGAATACAAGAATGATTCTCTGCCCCCTCACAACATACCAACCTTCCCCAAACTTGACAGGAATGTCTTCCTCCTAGCCTGTAGGATCTCATTTTCCAGCTCTAAGAACCTAATGGAAAATGCCAGCATCCTGACTACAGCCTGACCTGGCTGACAGCTGATTTAGGAAAATGGTGGGAAAGAGATCAGTGCTTCCAAGCTCAGTATGTTGCTGCTCTTTGAAGTATCAAGCAAGAACCCTTGCTGGGAGATAATTCCAGCAGAAATACAAGACTATTTCTTCAGAAACTGGCAAATAAAACTGCTGTTTAAAACTACAGACTCATAAATAGCTGTCTCCAGCACACACACCAGTCACAAGCATCACATCTGCTTACAGAACCACTGCACACCCATAGTGGAACTGTCACACTGGATCAGATCAGCTGACTCTAGCCTACTGACCTGAGTAATGGAGGCTAACGCCACACACTGCAGAAAAACATGCAACATAAAAGATACAGATGTAAAAACTGTAGTAAGAAGCTACCAAGTGTTTTTTCCTAATCCTGACAGGGACTGTTGCATTAAGTTTTAAACACCATAATTTAGGTGGATTTTACAGCATAAAACTGGGGGACATTTTCACTATCCATATGGAAGTTTGATTTTTGTTTTTTTAATGTTACAAAGTTTCTCTGATATTACACAAAAAAGTATTTACATTTGATAATTTTAAAATGCTAACTTCAGTGGGTTATGAACATGAAGTGTTAGAGATACTTTTATGTAATCAGGAATAGCTCCCCCAGTTTTGAAATACAAGAGATCTTTACAGAATACATATAACTTAGAGTATATCTTTAATGGAACCAATGACATGAAGCTTTGTAATCATGCTTCAAATGTAAGCCTTCCCACAGCCATAAACTGCAAACTCCATTATGCATACATTTTGTATTTTTCTGGGCTCTTTGATGTAAGATCAGCAGCATAAGAAGGCCTGGGCAAAAAGAGTATCTACCTTAAGCATTCCTCCAAGAACTCCCCAAAGCAGAAGAAAATACCCTGGAGCCCTGGGGCTACTGCTGGCCAGAACCCTGGCTGCGTCTTCATGCTAGCGGATTAACTGCTTGCTACCAGAAGGAGATGAACTGGATGCTAGATGACATGTCTTGTGCTAAAGTAGCCCATATAAGATGAGCAAATCTAAATGCAATACAGGAATGTAACTATTGGTGTCCTTTTAAAATTATCTGCAAGTGATATTCTATTCCTCGTTTGCATACGTGTATATTTTTAATCTTATTTCTATTAAACAAACTATATCACAAGCTTATTTTATTAAAGAGAAGCAGGAATTATCTGATAGGAAAATGATAATGCAAGAAATGACTGTTTTGCAGCAATACCATAAATATACTCTTTATTCAAGAATTTTAAAAGATATTTCATTAATTAAAAGAATTAAACTAAACTTGGCCCAAAATAAATCGGTTATACAGAGAGATTTCTGAAAACATGAGAAAAAAACAACTTGCCTGCCTCAAAGGTTAGAGTAACAGGAGAGTATATGTAAGAATAAAATGGTAAACTGGGGACTTGTACTAAAATGTCCATGGACAAAGAAATAGACATTGATTAACTGGTAAACATAAATATTTTTTCAATCACAAAATTAACTTCCAGAAGATATTCTTGTAGAATCTATCATACTGAAAAGACTAAAAACTCAGCAAGATTAAAAACTAGTAATTATTAGACTGAAGATGGTTATTCAAGGTTTCAGTTGTCACATATTAATAAACAAAGCTAGTACTATGAACGAAAATGAGAATACACTGTCTGGAGGAAATTCTGGAGTATAATCTATACAGTTCAGTGGAATTTTACCAAGGGAAAGCATTCATTATTGATCATCTATGGGTTTTGTAAGCATGCTTTTGGAGCCACACTATTTTAGCTATTGCTCTTATCATAATGCAGACATTTAGACTAGCATTTTGTTTAGTACAGTAAAATTTGTAAATCTGAGAACTGAGTAGAGACAGAAGAAATATTTCTTGGTTTTGTCAAATACGAAGGCAAAATAAAGTTTCTGTCTTCAGCATTTCTTCATCACATACTGATTGCAAAAGCAGCATACCTTTCCTGTTTGAGCGCATATTCCAGCATTTTGATTCTCCGCACTAGATCCTTCTTCAAATTCTCCTGTCCTTTCCTTTCACCTTGAAGAAAGGCAATCTGGGCCTGCAAAAGGAAATGTTCAATTTAGAGTCTGCTTCCTCAAAATTATTCAGCACAGCTCTTAAGTGTGTGTGTCTTCCCAAGTTATTTTAATATTCATTTGTAGAGTTCAAAAGCAATTGGCTTACTACACTTCATAAACATTAAACACTTACAAAAACCACTGCATAGATAAGCCTTCTAAGAAGCACACTCACTACAGATCTAAAAAAAAAAAAAAAAGGAAAGAAAATAGATAAGAACTAAAGCAATTTTGGTTTGTTTGACAGAGTTTGTTTTCTCTCTTGGATAAACATTCAATAAAAGATAAGGAATGGATAAAACAGGCATACAAAAAGCCTTCAGCAGATAAAAGTTTTTACTAACAATATCAAGAGAAGATGATAAAGTATTTCTGCTCACTAAGTAAAGTAGTGTATAATAGGGTATAATTCTATAGATACATGTTAGATACATAACATTAGTAAAAAAACCTGATGTAAACCATGTTCAGCTAAAATAAGTACAAAAGAAAAATAAAACCCTGTTTGTAATACAGGGTTAAGTGTTAATTATGATACTTACTAAAACAGGTTAAAGAAAGTTCTGAAGAAATACTTTAATTAAGAGCAGAAGAAAAAAGAAAATAGGGAAAGGTATTTTGGTGAGGGAGACAAGGAGAGAAATGGTACTTAAGTAAATAAATGTCAAGTAGGAAATAGACAGCTAACCTCTATCAACTTCCAGCACAAGTATTTAGTTGCCTGTGAAAAATTTCCTTTAAACAGAAAATTATGACAAATACAAGATATTAATTCCTAATCATAAAGCAAGAACTACCTGCTTTTGTACCTAATGCTCAAATCAAGAGGCAAGTTCCTGTGCTTGCTCCATTCATAAATACACTTTGAGGCAAAAATACCTAGAAGCAGTCACCACTTCATGCCTCAGCCTCACCTGCCATTTCCAGGATCAGAAGCTTTCCACACCTCTACAGCTAAGTCTCCAGTCATCTCATCTGTCTCTTGAGAAGCACAGACGAAATAAAAGGCAATTGGTCTACACCATCGGCTGTTGAGCATGGAGACCTATAAGCCTTTCATTTAAATAAAAGACCAGGAAAGTCAGGGATTAAAAATGAGCAGGAACATCCTATCCTCACCTGTCACAACCTTGCAAGCAGACCCAATATTTCAGTTAAGGGAGATAGTTGCTTCCAAAGAATCTGACTACAGACTTTTACCCCAAGGTGAGGAAAAACAGTCTGTAAACATCATTTTCTCTCCAGCAGCTATAAAGGGAAGGCACAGAACTAACTCAGTTGAATTCTGGCAACTAGGCATGATGAATCTTACTCCAAAAGCCCGTTTGTTGGTGGACAGCAATAGCAGCTGCTCTAAAATATCACCACAGCTGACATAATTTCATTGCTCAAGTACAGCCAATAAATAGCTTGACAGACACCTGAAGGATCCTTAACTGCCAGTCACCAACTAGACCAGCCAGTTTATGACAAGAGAAAAACACTGGCTGCTCTCCAACTAAGTCAGTCTTCATCTTCAACAGGGGAAATACATTTGAATTAAAAAAAAAAAAAAAAGTCAACTGAATCAAAAGAAAAATCTCTCACTCTAGCATCAAGAACTACAATTTAATTCTAATGCCAATTTTATGCTCAGGTTTAAAGAAAGGCACAGGAGAAAGAAATGCTGATGCTGGAGTCAGCATTTCCTACCCTGAGGAATGTAACTGTGAGAAGCATCTCAACTCTACAAGGTCAGCATCCCTCCCAAGAGGAACATCTCAGGCACATATAACTTAGTTTGCAGTAACTGTACAAACACACGGATTCTCACTCCCTACCTCCACATAGGCCCAGTGGAACTAAACACACACTCTTCTAGTCAGAAGGGATAGAACATCAAAATGCACTTTTAAAAACAGAAATCATGATGTAAATATGTATTTGGCTGGAAGAAGATCATCCTATGCCATCATTACACAAGCTGAAGTGATCTATTATGTGACCTGCTGTCTGCAAGCAATTTCTAGCCAAGAATGAACTGACTGAATACACTGGAATGAAACATTTTTACCCGGAAGGTTGGCAAACAACACAGCTCACACACTGCTATACTACAAAGGTCAAAGCAGCATTACTGTGATAACAGCTGAGACTAAATTCCACTGGTAGCAGCCGAAACGAAATGTAAAAATGCAACTTCTCAATAGTTTTAACAGCTTCCTTTTGTAAGAAGGAGAGACATAAATGGATATGATTAAGAAATACCATATGACACCTGCTTCATGTGGACATCTTTTGTTGTCAATCCATGCTCTTAATGATGTCTTAGAACTTTCCTTTTTCCTGGATTTTCAAGAAATCCTTGTGCTTCTTCATTAAAATGCACAGGGCAACAACAGAGGAATCCCCAGCCCAAGAGCCATTTCTCCAGTCCTACATAAGCTTACTGCTAGGATCCTTCAAGGTTAATAAATATACTTTACAGACAGGTAGTTTTACTGGTACTTCAAGACACTGAGAATAATTTTTGTCTTTCTTTGGAGGCTGCATGGTTTCTAGCATAGTTTGATCATGCTTTTCTTCAGAGTAGCATACTTATCCCTAATACTATTTTTGAAGAATTCTGGCTGTGTAAATGAGAATACTTATATTTAGTCATTTTCATAACATAGACAAATATTCCCTCTCTTTTCCACAAGATGTTAGCAACCCTTATCCCTCATTTATACATGTACTGAGTAATAACAATTACATCAGCCTCAGTGGACAATAAATATCAGTTATACATGCAAGCTTAATGATATTCAGGTTTCCTTATACTGCACGTAACGACAGTATTAAAATAATAACTGAAATTTTATACTAACACTAATACTCTAACAATTCATATGTCTTAAGCAGATTTCATTCTTTAACATTTCATTCTTTTGGTAATTAACCAGAAATATGCAAAGGAATCTAAATGTTCATACCATAAAACAAACAGAAACACTTTGCAGATAAATGTAAACTGAATAAACAAGTACAATGAGTTTAAATATCTAAAATGACAAATTATGACGTAGCAGTAACAATACAGTGGTAACTGTAGGATCACTATTTCCAATTAAAGTACAGAGACAACGCCTGTCTAAATGTCTGTGCAAACATTTAATGTGCAGGTCTGGCTTGAAACATGATGAAAATTATATCTGAACTGAACAACTACAGTTTTCTTATGTTTCAGGCATAAATGACAGAATTTTACCAATAGACTGAGACTCCACAGGTGACTTCCCATGGCTGCAGCTTTAGTCCGAGTCAAATCTGAAGCCTGAGCTACACCTGAGGGAGTAGAGCAGCAAAGGAGGATTCCCTTCCACTTTGAGTAATCTGCAACACTGTTACAGTGTTATAATGCTTGGGTTTTGGCGACTCCTGGGAAAGTTTGCCAAAAATTTCAAGAATTCACAAATATTCCCAACAAACAGGTTCTGTGACAACTGACCTTCCAGGTAATAAGGTTAAAATGCATCAAGTTGTATGCCAGTCTTTGCAAAACTCAAAATTGCCTACAGGGATCACGCAAAACCTCATATTGTTCCTTGCTTTATGGGTGGGGCGCATCATCTCCATAAAGCACCCGGCCCCGCTGGCTCCACAGCAAGAATCAAGGCAGGATCCGCCTAGAGTTTATTCCAGGCTAAGTGCTACAAGTTACTGTATTCCAACTCAACTGTAAAATTACAATCAAAAGAGAAGGAGAAAACAAAATAAAAATCAAAATCAATCCAAACAAAAATAGCCACCACAAAACCAGAGAACACTGGAAAAAGATGTGCCTGGAACAATCTATTTCAGCTGCAATTGTTGAGTCCCATATTTTTTTTCCCCACTTTATCTCACTGAAATTTTTTGCATGACCAACTGGAACATGAAGTGTCATACTCATCCAGTCTATGTTACAGCACTGTAGCTACCTTAACTATTCCACTTCTCTACTAAGAGTTTTAAAAATAACATTCATTCTTACACTAAAAATAATTTCAGAGGCAACAACAGTACTGTTTTACAAAATTCCTCAAAAGGCTCTAATGTCACATTACTGTGAAGTAGACAAAAAGCTGAAACAATGTTTTAGGTAGCACTGGGCTAGAAACAACTCCTTTTTTAAATGTTGTTGACTTCCTAATATAGGCTGAGCAGCCATAACAACATAATTAAATAATGAAATCACATCTTAGTAAGTTCAGATTTTACCGATGTTTAAAAATTTACACTGAAATTCATAATTTCTCGACTCAGCAACCACAACAAGAAGCATGTTTAAAGTATATATATATATATACACACATATATATATACTTTATATATATAAAGTTTATATATATTCTTTGTGTGTGTATATATGTAACACACACACACACATATATATATATAATATTTGAACATCTTTTTAGGCTTATACCTTGATGCTACCTTAAAGCAGGAGATAAAAAAATATTCCTCTTTAACAGGACATTTTAAAAAATAAACATACTATGACTGCTAAACAACATTTAGTACCAACTTCTATCAGTTCCTGATTTTACAGCTATTTCAAGTTAAAAGGCAATTTATTTTTTTAATTCATAAGACTAAAAAATTATAAAAAGCCTTTCTATTCTTCTCTAAAATATTTATCATAATATTTTAAAGTAAACCTCACTTCAAATTCATGGGCATTTAAAGGTCAACAGACATAATTTTACAAAGAGCTACTAAGACACACAATTCTCTACATAATGCTTCCATAATTCAACAACCAGTTCTTCAGAGGTTGAGAGAAAGAGAACAAAAGAGGGGAGGGGAAAACTGCAGGAAAAGTATTGCAAAAAAATATGCAGATAGCTAAAATAACTAAATATATCATAGAGATGAATCAATCTGGAACAGTTGTGCTAACCGGTCTACCAAGGTCTGCCAGAAGGATTCTGCAAGCCGCCAGGGTACTCAGTATTTTAGATTATAGCTGGATCAC